AAAATAACGTAACTGCAAGTTTTTATAAACCTTTGCGTTACTAATACAAAAAAAAAGTTGGCAACGCCGTATCGGAATTTCAAACTTAAATTAGCCTATGAAGAGGCTATGAAAATATCCAAAAATATTATAAGAAATTCTATTAAAAAAAAAAAACACATCAGCTATGCCTTGAAAACAAAACACTCTGTAGGTCGAAAATAATTTTAGTGTATGCTACTCGAAAAACCGTACAACTTTAATCTATAACTTTTGACCAGACGCTTAATGACTCACCCTGTATGTCTTACGACTTTTTTGCGGATTTTTGGGAAACTTTTCAAAAAACTTAATTTCTCAAAACGCATTTTTTTACGTTTTTTCGAAATTTAAAGATATTTAAAAAAATTCATTTCCAAACCAAATTTTTCTAAACTCTTGATTTCGAACCTTCGTTTTTCAAATCAGTTCGTCGAAAGTTTTTTTGAGGATTTTTAGGCAACTTTTTCAAAAATATCAATTCTTCAATTCTCCTCGGATGAATTTTTGGACCGTTTTTCGAGATTTTGATATATATTAAAAAAAAAAACATTTTTTTTTTAAATCTAGTTGTCCTAGAACATTAACTTTTTGTTTTTCGAATCAGTTCGTCAAGATGTATAACCCCGAATTTCATCAGTTGTTAGGCAACTTTTCAAAAAATTCATTTTTTCATATACTCCTCCAATTAATGTTTAACCGTTTTTAAGATACTTAAAAAAATTCATTTTCAAACTGAATTTTTTGAAAATCTTAGTCCGGGACTACAATAACACGTATGTTTTTCGAATCATGTCGTTGAAATATATTTCAGAAAATTTTTTGAAGGTTTTTAGCCAACTTTTCCATGCCCTCCACGTATGAATTTTTCGACCGTTTTTCGATATATTTACATATTAAAAAAAAATCAGTTTCAATCCAAATTTTTCAAAAAACCTGGCCCTTTTTGGAATGAGTTCGTCGAGATTTACTTCCCCGAATTTGTTGAAAATTTTTAGACCACTTCAAAAATCTCAATTTTTCAATAAAACCCTAGATTGAATATTTTGACTGTTTTTACGAGATTAAAAAATTTCATTTTCAAAACATTTTTCGCAAATCTCCCGGGTCTGAGTTCGTCGAGATATACAGGGTGAATCACTAAGCGCGGTCTCCTTGATGTCTCATTGTTAGAAACAGAACAATGAGTCTAACACTAAAGTTCATTGAGGACCATATATCAATTATTTTCAACTATACATAGTGCTCTATTTTGAAGGTATCACACACAACTTTGTTTTTACAAATGGAGAACCCTATATATTTTTATATATAGATTCTGATTTACCTCTTCTTAGGCATTATATTATAACCATTATTTATTTTCAAAATTCCGATTTTTGTTTTTTTTTCAGAAATGCGAGGGCTTTATTTTTAAAATTTGGATTACAATATTTTATGAAAAGGCAAAAAATTTTGTTTTAATATACAGTAAACCCTCGTTACTTCGAACTCGGTTAAGACAAACACCTCGTTATTACGAACTGGAATCAAAGTCCCAAACAGTCCACTTATAAAACGAATGCAACTTAATTCGGTTTACACGAAATTCGGTTAATACGAAACTCGAACAACTTTTTCGGCCCCAAGTTATAATTCTCATATAAAATCACTCGGTTAACGCGAACAAAAAGTGCAAACTCTTTGCATCGTGCTCAAATACGATTTACTTTATCTTAATGGGTATCTAGTAAGCACAACGCAAAAGTATGTCTCTGTGTGGTTTACCGAGTTGTAATCAGTTCGCTCTTATCGTTCAATGTGCTAACGTCCAAAATGGCATAGCAAAAACCAAAACGAGGCCAAAAATCCATTAATATTAAAACGAAAATGCAAACTGCAGTAGCTAAAAAGTTCGCCATTCCAAAATCTATATAGTCCACCATTCTGAAAACCCGATCTCAAATAAAAAAAAAAAAGTGTTGGGATCATTTGTGTCAAATTTTTTCACAAAGTTGTTTAGGAAAATTGATCCATGAAATTTTATATGTATGTAGTACTAGTATTAGGGGCCGGTTTATAGAACAGCGAGTTAAATATTTAATCCTCGATTAGTTTAACAGAGAATTAAAATGTGGAATATGAGCCCGTGATTGGTTGAAACATGCATGTTTCCTAGCAACGGACCTCAGTTAAAAATTAATCGCGAATTAACTTTAACTTCGCTTTCTATAAATCGGGTCTTAATGTTCAAAATTTGGTTATGCATTGTTAGAAATCTAATACGAAAAAAAATTCAGCTTAAATAAGTTGTTTTTGTTATATTTGTGTTAAAATGTCAAAAAGTGATTTTCGGTTATGGCGAATTCGGTTAACACGAATTGGTCAAGATCATGGTCCCGACGGGTTCGTGTTAACGAGGGTTTACTGTACAGTATTTAACCCTGTATTTTTTACACTGATTTTTTTACTTTTTTTTTAGGGTGACGCCAACATATTGAAAGAAAGAGAACAACAAAATAGCGTAAGGTGCAGTAATAAAATACAGGGTATTCTATTTCTCCACAAAATATTGCAACACAGATCTTCAAAAGAACGTAACTGCATTTTTTTGTAAACTATTGCGTTATTAAAACAAAAATAAAAAAAAACTGGAAGAAATTGGCAAAGCCGCATCGGAATTTCAAAATTAAACTATGAAGAGGCTAATAAGAATTTCTAAAAATAATAGGAAACTCTATGAAAAAATAAGTTGTGAGCTATACCTCGCAAACAAAACACTCTGTATATTCAAAAATAATTTTAGTGTATCCAAATTTTCCGAATCAGCTCGTCGAAATATATTTCCGAGAGTTTTTTGAGGATTTTTAGGCAACTTTTTCAAAAATATCAATTCTTCGATAATCTTCCCCGGATGAATTTTTTGACTGTTCTTCGAAATTTCGAGATATTTAAACAATTTCATTTTCAAAACAAACTTTTCGAAAATCTTAGTCCGGGATCAATGACACTTTGTTTTCGAATCAGCTTGTCAAGATATACAGGGTGAGCCACTAAACGTGTGCTCCTCGAACTCATTAGCTACTAGAAATAAAGAAAAAGTTTGTAGGAAATATAGTTTTAATTTCTAGAACTGTTAATACAGATGTTTAAAAAAATGTACCCAACTTTTAGAAAATTTTGGAAGCAGTAGGAAGTTTTATTTTAATTTATAGGTGAGAACATCTGGTTGAATATGGTGATCACTGATCCAAATTTTTTTTTTTATATTATATTTCAAAATTCTTCATAATTCTGATATGTTTTAACGTAAATTTAACTGACAGTCTAAAATTCCGATAAAACTGCCAAATTCTTTAACTTCGTAGTTTAAGGGTGGCGTCTGGTTCAGTTTCGCCCAATACTAAATACATTGAAAACATCGTCGTAGTTTCCGGAATTGCATTTTTAAAATACTGAAATCTCCAACCAAGTCAGAATCTAAGTAAACCTGCATTCTGCTACCGCATCACAGCTCGTTTAATGCCGATTTCTCGTTTCAATAGATTTTGACTTTTCGCGAGTTATTTACCTCAGTCGTGGATTTTTTAATATTATAAATGGTATCAAAAGAAAGCTGACACTTTTCCTCAGGGGACCTCCTATCTCAGAATGCAAAAAACTTCAGCACTTCGTCAAAAAATGCATCAATGTGCCGGTTAAAATGTGATGTAAAAGTTGTTCAACTTTATGATTTTTTTTTGTAAAAACTGCATACTAGATATGAATATAAATATGGAGGTCCCCTGGACTGAAGTTTGTTAATTCGAAATATAATTTTTTTAAAGCGATATATCTCATATTTTTAAAATGCAACTCCGGAAACCGCGACGATGTTTTCAATGTATTTAGTATAGGGCTAAACCGAACCAGACGCCAGCCTTAATATTTTTTAAGCTTGGTACAGGGATTTTTTAACCAATTTTTTCGAGTTCTTCAGAGCCTCTTTAAAAACATTCGAAACATCCGAAATAACAATAGAAAAATTGTTGGCATATTTTTTTAGTTTAATATATAACCTGCAATCTAATGATTTGACAAAGACTTTGTATATTAGATGTATACATAATTTTTTTCTGCAACTGTATAAGTTACTATTACCTTTTTTCCATATATTTCTGTATTTACCTGTACCTTCTGTGGACAGCAGAAAACAATTTGGAAATTAATTATTTAAAGGTAATAAAAAACGATAGTAAGCATTAAACTATCACTGGTTTAAAAGCATTGTTACGTTGATCGTAATTTAAAAATCGGCGGGAGTAAAACTCAACAATTTATTTCATAGTAACTCGAATTTACACGACTTATTACACAGCGATTATGCACAAAATAACTCCACAACTTGACTCAACATTCTCTGGATTCGACTCGACTGAATTTACACGTTCCTCTGGATGGATCACGAACGCCACTTTGAGATTTTTCTCGACCCTGCAATCGAGATTCCGGTAACCCGATCCAGACTTGTCTTTAAGCGAACGCCACCCGGCCACCATCACCGATGATGAGTCACCCATCATGGCCGCACATACTAGAAAGCTCTCGACGGCCCACAGGCGGCGTATGGGTTTATTTCATAACAGTATTATACCCTCTAAAGGGTTCGAACCAATTTTTTTTCCGAAACTGTTTTTTTCTTAGACAGATTTTATCAGAGTACGTATGTATTTCTAATTAATTTTCTTCGTCATCAGTGTTGCTTTAGAAACCACACACTTCAAACCGAAAGCGCACCTTTAAAAATACGCAATTCAACAAAGCATTCTTTCGTAAAATCGAAATTATATATTACACTTTATGACACATTTCACATAAAACGGAAGCCCATAAAGATACGTATCATTCCCCACGAGCCATAATTATCTATCGATAAATAATTCAAAAACCCTATCGCTTAATGCGACTTTCCCACGTTTTTTCTCTTCTCTCTTCCCCCCACACTGGGCCGCTTGAAAACTCACCGAATCGCTTGTATCCATCACCAACAGCCACCACATTGATCCAACACAATAAAATGTAAGCACTGGTCGTGTCTTCTTCAACGTCCTTGAGTTGTGCAACTTCGATGCAATAAATCGGATCGATTTCACTAATAATATTCACCGATTGCGTGTCGGTAAAAGTCCTTAAAAACCCCGTCTCGCCGATTTCGGTGATGAGCATGTTGGCACGTTCGATCGACGTGTCCGATTCGAGGATGTCCCTGAGTTCCGAAACGGTGGCACCCGAGGGCATACTCAAGCCGATCTGGACTTGTCGCGGTTGCTGGGACGTGTAAAGGACCTGGAATTAAGGATTTAAGGGTTACTTTCCTAAGAGAAAATGCAATGATTGATGTAAAATCCTTTTCACGAGCAGAAACTTGCTTGTGGTTTATGGACACTCGAAAAAAGATTTGGAAGCTAAGAGAATTTTAATGCCAGGAAATGAGTTCGGCGTTTCACCAAGGGCATAAATTTAGAAATAAAACGTTTTGCTAAACATTTAAAAAAAAATGCTCTTTTAATCTCGTAAGAAAAATTGTGAAAAGATTCGCCCCGAGTGTTAAAATATATGGGTTTCTCGATCAACAGTTTTAAAGATTTGCAATTTTACGGGAAAAAAATTGTCGTATAGTAAAGCAAGCTGACTTTGGCCTTTCTTGCCGTAATGCTTCTAATACCTGCTACTATAGCCGGGGAAATTTAAAGCGCCAGATGTAACTTTTACAGTCACCATAGCATTACCATGAAAGTAAAAAGTAAAAACTTCTGTAAAAGCGTCAACGCAGCTTTGCCTTATTCATCTTTTCCTCGCTCCTGAGTTGATGTTACAGTTAGGTCTACCACTTTAAATTTCCCCGACTATGTGGGTGTCTTTTTTTTTATACAACTCCTGTAACTTTTTTATTTTTAAAGATAAAAATATAGTATTCAAATCTAGTTGTTTGAAAAATATTTAAGTGTTTGATCTGTGAGTCCGACATTTGTAACAAAAAGGTTGTTCGGGTGTTTGGATCTTTATCATTGTAATAATGGCTCAAAATTATAATATTGAATAAGTTTAAATTTTCAATATTATACCGCATGATCAGAAATGACTGAATCGTCATAATGTTTGCTATAATTTCTGATTGTCAGCTGTCAAAATTGACAGGTTGTTGACATTTTTAAATTATAAATACAAAAAAAATTGTATCAGAATTTTTGAAACAATTTATTGATAATTTAAAAACAGAGGTTAGTTTAAGGCGAAAAGAGAAAATTCGCAAATATCCCCGAAGATGATGGGTCAGGTCAGGTCCAGTCAGGTCAGGTCTACGAACGCCAGAATGCATAAAATTGACCCAAACGTCTCCTTTTCCTAATCTGAGACATTCTGCATGCTCTAAGTGTGTTTCGTTGCTCAGAATCATAAAAAAATGTTGAAATATAGTTCAGATTTAATAAAAATCGACAAAAATACTGTTTCTACCTAAAATTTGATGGTTTCGTTGCTCTTTCCGAGCCCGTAGGGTTTCTGATTGGCTTAAAACTACAAAAAAACACTTCAAAAGTGACGTTTCTGAAGAATTTTAACAATTTTCTTGTATCTACGAACGCCAGAATGCATAAAATTGACCCAAACGTCTCCTTTTCCTAATCTGAGACGATTCTGCATGCTCTAAATGTGTTTCGTCGCTGAGAATCATCAAAAAATGTTGAAATATAGTTTAGATTTTAGAAAAATCGACAAACATACTGTTTCTAGCTAAAATTTGATGGTTTCGTTGCTCTTTCCGAGCCCGTAGGGTTCCTGATTGGCTTAAAACTACAAGAAAACACTTCAAAAGTGACGTTTCTGAAGAATTTTAACAATTTTCTTGTATCTACGAACGCCAGAATGCATAAAATTGACCCAAACGTCTCCTTTTCCTAATCTGAGACGATTCTGCATCCTCTAAGTGTGTTTCGTCGCTCAGAATCATCAAAAAATGTTGAAATATAGTTCAGATTTAAGAAAAATCGACAAAAATACTGTTTCTAGCTAAAATTTGTTGGTTTCGTTGCTCTTTCCGAGCCCGGGGAAAAAGGAAAAAGGAGATAATTGACCAACTTTTCCCGATGAGACCTGTCCAGGAGCCGGTTTCGCTGACGAGAGCATGGGGAAGTCTCCGGGTCCAGATATGATCCCTCCCGAAGTTATAAGGTTTATCGCTGAAAACGGGACCGAGAGTATAATAAAGGTCTTCAAAAATGTACTGAAACGGGGTGAATTTCCAAAGCGCTGGAAAGTAGCGGATTTGATACTTATCCCTAAACCTGGCAAAGAAATAGAAGACCCAGGTGTCTTCCGACCAATAAGTTTAATAGATTGTGTGGAGAAACTACTAAAGCACGTAATAACGGCGCGTTTAAACGAGGCATTACAGCGTAAGGGTGGAATGTCCCCGAAACAACATGGTTTTAGACCCGGTAGAAGCACGCAATTAAAGAGGTATGCAACATCGCTGCAAATGGGAAACCAAAAATTCGGAAGACACGTGAAATCTGTACCCTGGTCCCGGTGGATATAAAGAATGCTTTTAATTCCATACCGTGGGAGGTTATACATAATGAACTTGCCAGGATAAGTATTTCCGCACACATTAGGAGATTGATAGCTAGTTACTTGACGGATCGTTACGTCAACTTGGGAGATGGCAGCAGCAGAGTCCTTACTTGTGGGGTACCCCAAGGCTCCGTTTTGGGACCGGTGTTGTGAAACATCGGGTATGATAGCGTATTAAGCCTGTCAGTTCGGAGAAATATATATTTGGTAGCATACGCAGACGACATGGGAATAATTGCCACTGCTAGGAAAGAAGGTTGGTGAAAAGGGAAATTACGGAGAAGGGCCTAAAAATTGCTATCGATAAGACGGAGGCAATTTTCCTTAGTGGAAGAAAAAAAAATCTATCCCTTTCACTTCTCCATTGATCAAGAGGAGATCAGAAGCAAGAGAGAACTCAAGTACCGCGGTGTAGTTTTTGACGGCCATCTGTCGTTTGGAAAGCACCTAGTCTAGGTCACCTGAAAGGCGGGAGGGCGGGAGAAGGCAAGAGACGACTCATAAGCTCGATGGTCCAGTCGATGATATTGTACGCTGTAGAGCTTTGGGCGCCAGCAATGAAGACCAAAGCGCATCTCGAGAGAGTGGATACTTGCCAGGGTGGACTAGCTTTGCGAATATGCCGAGGATACTGTACCACTTCCATGGAAGTGGCCAGAATTCCGAGTGACCTGATACCTTTAGACCTAATGGCCGACGAAAGACGTCGAAGTGCGGGCGTGACAAATGCAGAGAAGAAGATACAGAAGATGCAGACACTATATGAAGTGCAGAGGAGATGGTCTGACAGTGAAAAAGATGTCTGGATTCACCGCCTTATGCGGGATATCACTCCGTTTTCACGCTGGAAAATTGGAGCAAAAGAAAAGACATGATTGAAAGCATTATGAAGGAAAAAGAAGCGAAGGAACGCAGACGAGAAAGGATGTGAAAGATAAGGTCAGGTCAGGTCACAAGACAAGGAAGGAAGTGGCGACCCCCCCCCCCCCTGAAGTAATGCTAACGCGGTTGGGGGGGGGGAGGTAGGGGGGTAGGAGAACAGCTGGTCGAGGAAGGTGTTTTAGCCGGTAGAACTCTTGGGTCGGGTTGGGTCAGTAATAATAAGATATCGGTCCTGGGGCCGCTCTTGTGGAACACCTATGATGAGGTATTAAGAATGGAGATACCTGATGGGGTAAAGAATGAGGAGGACCTAGAGAAGGGACCAAAGAGGCACTGCGGCTCGTGGGTGTATGGATGGGGGCTAATGGTCTCTCACTTGCACCCGATAAGAGCGAAGCGGTGCTGTTGGTAGAAACAAGGACGATCCGAGAGATGAGAAAAGGAACGATTGAGACCTGGAAAAGGGTGAGGTACCTTGAGGAGGAATTTCAAAGAAACGTCAGGGTGGCCAAGCAAGTCGAACGGGTGATAAGTAAGGCGAAGATGGTTGTGAATCCCTGGGCTGACTGCTACCCAATGAAGGAGGACCCAGGGCGAGTAAAAGGAGAGTAGTATGTAGTGTCGTCCATGGAATTTTGTTGTATGGGCCGGCATGGATCGATGGATACCGCATACAAAAGTATCGACAAATGCGTCTGGGTGTCCAGAGAAACATGCTTCTGCGGGTACGTTGTGCGTATTGCACGGTGGTCGGGGACGCACTGTGCCTGCTAGCTGGGGTCCCTTCGCTGAACCTGCTGATGGAAGAACGTCTCTGTGAATAGAAGAGAAGGAAGAATGATAGGGAGAGGGAGCCGAAGTCGGGCTCCTCAAGAGCATGTGATAGGTTGAGGCAGACGGAGAAAGCCGCCTGGACAAGGGAGTTTTGGGGCCTATCTCAAAAGGATAGGCAATATTGGCTGTGCAGCTGGTATTGAGAGGAAGGGATGGAAGAGAACGGGGACCATGCGATTTTTGAATGTGACCGATGGGCGGGCTGAGAGAAGAATGTGAAGCCGAAGTGGGTAAAAGAGTGAATTAGACAATATGATCGAGCTGATGTTAAAGAATGAAGAGGGATGGATGGCATTAGAAAGGATGCTAGTCTATAATGAAAAGGAAATGTGGGTACGAGAAAGGGAGAAAGGAGAGAACAAGTGTGACAGGTGTGCGAATGAGAATAAGAAGAGAGAAATTATAAGCAAATCAGGAACAAAAAAAAGGACCTGGATGACGGAAGATCAAATAAAATGAAATATTAAAAAAAAGATGATTACATGTCTGAAGAATTAACAAGCGGAGAGGTACGAGAGAAAGAACAAAAAAAAAAGGAATAGGAAAATAGGAAAAGTAAGGAAGTTAAGGAGAAAAAGAAAAAATGATGAAAGGAGAATTTGACGACCACCTGGTTGGGGAAGGGGTTTTAGCCGGTAAAAATCCTGGCACTACCAGAAGCGGTCGAATGTATGTCCCTGGTGTCCACGAGGGTTTCCCCTTTTCCATAAAAAAAGTAATAAGATGGCCTCCAAGATCGCCTGATTTGAACCCCACTGACTATTTCCTTTCGCGTTTCATGACTTTTAATTAATACTGAGACAAAAATCTCGTAAGAGAAATGTGTACAACATTAAACCCATAGTTTACAACGAATGAATGCCGCAGAAGACATTCACAGACTAGGGAACAAAAAATACATTTTTGAAAATTTGTTATGAGAAATACTTGTACTTTTGTTGTCGTGTTTAAATTTAAATCTTAGTATGTTTTGTTATTTTGGACGTTAAAAAACACATTCGGGACATGAACATGTAATCAAAAATTAAATTCTCGTTTTAAAATGGTACGTATTTTATTAGTCGTGGGTTATCCAACTTCGCCAAAATCTTCGAAATTCTCATTTATCGAAATATCTACTATAATATTAAAAGTCATCTCTCCATTCACCAACATGGATTTCTGCCAGGTCGGTCAACAATTACCAATTTAGCAGTAATTACACAGTTTATCTGGCAAGAATTAGATACAAATAATAATCAAGTCGATGTTATTTACACTAATTTTTCTAGCGCTTTTGACTCAATAGATCATTATACTTTATTAAATAAGCTAAGCTAAGTATAATGGTTTTAAGTCCAAGAATTTTATTTCCACTTCCGGAGTCCTCCAAGGGTCTAATTTGGGTCCCTTGCTTTTTGCTATATTTATCAATGATCTATTAGAGCTACTTAATTGTGAAGTACTGGCATATGCAGACGATATAAAGTTATACTCTTCAATTAATAATATCAATGATGTTAAAATCTTTCAAACTAACTTTTGAGAAATGCTTTTATATGACATTCACAAAGAGAGTAAATCCATGCAAGTACCTTCTTACCACCACGACCAAGAACCAACTTGTGACGTAAAGCGCCACTATCGCACATGTATATAAATGCTGAAAAACTATATGACGATATTTTTGTTGTTGTAAAATGTAATGGGAATACGTTTATTATTATTTTGATATTACTATATTTTTTTATTATAGTATTATTTTATGTGTTACTTTTCTTCTCTTTTTAATATTGTCCTATAAAAGGATTGTATATCTGTTGGGCAATAAAAGTTATTTATTATTTATGTCGATTAAAAATTTGTTTCACATTTAAATTTAATGAACCTATGTAATTTTTCATTTATTTTCACTTTTTATTATTAATTTTAGAATATTGGTTGCATTTTTTGTGGTAAAAAATGCAAACGATTCATTTATTAAAAAATATACAAATATATCTTAAAATATAAAGGTGATGAATTTCCGGGGTTACCGGAAGTGAGAATTAAAGAATGTATTTACCATCAAATAGACCTTCTAGTTGATACAAATTAGTCCAAAGAACAAAGGTCTCATCTTCAAAAATAAAAAAATTACAGGGGTTGTATCAAATAAAACAAGATATCCTGAAATAGTGAACACTGACTTTCTATTATTTCCAAAACTGTTTATGGGAATCCCTCAATAACTAGTCCCTCAGTAAATATAATACAACTTGTTGATTGTATGAAAAGATCAAATGTTTTACGAATCGGATGTCTTTGATCATTAAATGTTATAATAACAATAGTGGATCTAATGGTCTTTATGGAAGGAGACTTATAGAAAGATTCCAGGTATGTACTATTTCTTTCAAAACAATTAGTTTTTAAGTGATCTTTCTCTATAAAAATATTTCAAGTTCTGTTAGTGCTATAAAATTAAAAAATAAAATTGGGAAAGATAAATGGTAGAACTGTATACAGCATGTGATACTTCTTGAACTACGAAGATTTTCCGAGATTATTGTGAATTTAGATGATAGCAGCGACACGGACGATGACAAGAATTTCGATCTTTCGAACATCAGTTCTTTTTTTACAAGAAAGATGTTGATAAAGAAATTGATTTTTCTCGAAAATTAAAAAAACAATAGCAGTTAAATTATAGGCAATACACCACAAACCAAGTTGTATGTTCTAAGATACTACCTACGTAATTTGGTGACATATTGCCAAGGAAAAACTAGATCACAAATCAACACTGAAATCACAGGCCAGGGTTTTGAAAGAAAAAAATAATTCAAGTACTGGGTACCGAAGAATTTGGGTTTTCAATACAAGAAAATCAATGACGGAAAATTACTATGTGAAATGCGTTGGAAACGAGATAATGACACCCATCTGGATTAAATATGTGTTATCACCCTATAATTTGAGGCTCAATAACTGTTTTCTTTAGCCCAACTGGATTCCTGAGCGTCTTCGTTCATATTATCCAGTGTGGATAAAATATCGCGTGCTCGTTAATTTTCTTCCTAGAAAGGAGTCGTGAAGATATTCAACAATGACATTTTTCACCGCTGAATCTTGTTTATGCCACTCGTCAGTTAGCACTTCGGCACCGTCGAATTCCGCAGTATTTTTCACCACTAAATGGCTGAATATTTGTTTTCGCACGTTTCGTTTTTTCATTTTACGTTTATTTAGTTTATTGTCGCACCGACATATAAATAAGTGCACTCCCACTTTATTCGTGTACTGGGCCCATCACCTGGTGCAACTACGAAATTTTTAATGACTGGGATAATAAAAGTGACGCAAATAATAACCACTACAAAACATTATGCATTTTTTTAAATAACTTTTAGTGAAGTTAAACATTGCTATTTGTATTTATTTATAGAAGAAAAAATTCGTTTTTATCAGATAAAATTCTAAGATAGCGTAAAATAACAAACATCGGGAACCACCGGATTGATGAGGTCGCAAAGTTGCATTTAAAATTTTGTGCTTGACGCAGGTTTTTATGCTCCTTTAACAAAAAAGACAATTTTATTAAAAAGGTTTAAGTTGTAGGCGTTTATTACTCGTACTTTCTAGTTTTGTCACGGAGTTGGCAAATACTTGGTACCACTTTCGTTCTATTTTAGCAGGTATTAGAAGCATGATGGCTTATAGCATTTAGAATTAACCAGTTACCTCCACTACATTCTAAATTTTCGTCCCATTTCCACCAAGTTTCAGCTTGACTCAACAAGAACACTGTCAAACACATTATTAAGAGTACAAAACCTCCACTCTAACACGAAAAGCAATTAAGTTTATTTCCTATTCAAGCTCCGCACAGATTCGATTACTTACAGTGACATAGATCGATTGCTTGCTGAATTGGGGTAATTGCACGGAGATACATTGAAAAGGGTCGAAGGTGTTGGATTGGGTGCGGCAACGGGAGCAGCTCAACGACGAACGATATTGGGCCTGGAACACACCCTGGATGAACGAATTGTTGCATCGCTTGTAATTCTCTAGAGTTTCGGCGGCGATGACCTCGTCGGGTCGACCGGAAGTCTGAAAAAGAAGAAAAGTCCTTCAGAGACACGCTAAGGTGAGATTAGGTGCTGAAACGTGATCGCTAGTCTACTTAAAATCACCTTATTTGTTCTTTGAAATAGTACGCGCAGATATTTCGACGCACGATAAAGAAGCTTCGATGAAGTACTTTTTAGAAGGAGAGCTTTTTATTGTCGACAAGATGTGGACACTAAACGATAAACAATAAGAATTGGGTAGTAATTTGCTGTAAAGACCCTTGTCAATTCTAGACAGCTTATACGTGTCGCTAATAGATACCTGATTTATTAATTAAATGCAATATCCAATTCAAATTAACTACATCGAATTTAAATACACATATATTTACATTTTACAGGAAAGTTAGTGGTGTTATTTTACTTATTTAAAGTTGTAAAACGTCGTTCGTAATAATTTTATGCTACCATAAACATTCAAAATACGAAAACAAATACAAAAATAGTGTCTCTAAACACAATATATGGCGACGTTTAAAGTTCTAAAATAAAAATAAAAATGATTTCACATTCAGCGTCAAAATTATTACAAAAATTTATGTAAAGTTAACTAACACTTGAATAATACATAAGTCTTATTTATTCCAAAATGTGGAAAGACATTAAAATTTTAATAACAATATTATCAAAGCGACAAAAAGGTGTCTATAGTCGCGAATTTTGAAGTGTTTTTTTACAATGACTATTTAAACAAATATTTATTTGATGCTTCACATTTAAAGGTAACCCGTTTCAAAATACAACCTACGATTTGAACATACATTAGATAATAGAAACATGTAAACTAGCATTGTATTTTTAATAATTCTAAGGGCATTTTCAAGGCTGCTGGCACGTAAAATAATTATGTAGTTTCAAAAAAAACTTCCGACTTTCGCTATTTCACCCAGAGACTAAGACGTTTTCGACATCAATGCTTTGCAAAACTTAAAGCAAACATGAATTTTCATCTGACACCCTATCTAAATCCTCACGCATTGTTAGCTGTTTCATTATAATAATCCAAACATGACTTCAATAGTCTAGTTATAATACCATAAAATTTAACAATTCATATCAACTGTCTCAAGACATACCAAAGTGACCCGGCTTCCCCAAAAAACTAAAAACGGTCGACAATACCTTGGCATTTACTTTGAGACTGAGTTGTTTGTTTATAGTTTATACTTAGACATTTACAAATTTTTGCTTCTCGTAGCTATTGTTTGTCTAGAAATGATAAAATGTTCAGAGTGTTACAATCGAATATTCCTGCAAGATCAAGTACATAGTGCCACACAGTTGAGCGTTTGTTGTGAAGTAACATACAATAAATCATTATTCCTTTTCAAAATGTAAATATTTAGCAATTATATAAAAATTTCCATGAATATTTTGGAAGTTAAGTGTTTTACAATTTACTTTATTTATTGTTAAGCAATACAAAACTGTTTTTTTTTTGTAAAGGCTGATCCACAAGTAATGAAGTGAAAAAAAAGCTTAAGTGCTCAATTTGAAGTAATTTTTATGCGTTCTTTAAAGGACAATGCAATAAATCCGCTTGCCTGGGAAGACCTTCTCCTACAGTAAGAGTAACAAATGACAAATTCTGTTCTGTTTTTAGGGCGCAACACATGTTTTTCTTTTTATGAAACACCTTATAAATTTTGATATATTTTGATTAACATTTTCTTAGGGTTTATAACTATTTTTGAAATTGGATGCGATGTTGCCACGTTAATTCAATTTTCTTCAAAAAAAGATTACAGTAGGACCAGTTTTGAAGTTTGTTACAATATTTTGTGGAGAGATAAATAAAGTTACTCGTTTTGGTATTAATAAAATTTAATCTTCATATGCATACGAGTGTTTGTAAAAAATCTTTAACCATGTATTACAATATTCAAAGATCGATATTTTAGTTCTTATATTTTCTATAATTAAAGTTGATGGTTCCTGTGATTTTATTTTTTTTTAAAGAATATTAGAAGAATGAGAACAAAAAATAGAGTATTATAAAAAAATTGGTCCAAAGTTGTTTCGACAGAACTTCCCTCACACCGAAAGTACAATGAAACAAGTCCAGCATTTCCGAGTCAAATATTTACTTTATACAATTTTGTGACGACCTCATCAACTTGGACTGATACAGTGTAGTACTTGCTAAGATAAGACTGATTGTGGGAAATGACATACCCCCTAAGAAAACAGAGGGCGGGTGGGCATGACTAGTATTTGTTAAAATAAAACTGATTTTGGCAAATGACTGAACAATATTACGAAGTAATCACTGGAATGAAGAGCGGGTGGGTGGGCGGGGCTATTGCTTGCTTATAAAAGATTCTGTAGGAAAAAGTTAAACTTAGCCCCGCCCACCCACCCGTTCTCTAATTTTTTTATGTTATAGGAAATAAGTAGCCTACGTTCTGTTAGTTCCCATTCTCACTTTAGAAAAGAACATACCACGCCCACCCACCCCGCCTCCATTTCAGCGATTTATTTTGTCTAGTCCGAATGAAAGCTAGATCTCAATTGAAGAAAGATAAAATCGTTATGAGAACAGTGTGTGTGGGCGGGGCTAGTATCTGCTAAGGTAACATTGATTTTGGTAAATGACATTTCTCTCTAAAAAAAAATGCTAGTTCTTGCAAAATAAGAATGTTTATAGCAAATGACATACTTTCTAAAAAAATAAAGGGTTGGTGGGCGGGGCTAGTCCTTGCTAGGACAGGACTGAAGAATATTAAGAGTGGTCAGTGGAACGAAGGAGGGGTGGGTGGGCGGGGCTACTGGTTGCTCACAAAACTAGAAATAAGATAAATTCAGCCCCGCCCACATTCTTTCTCCATTTCACTTACTTATTTTATTTAGTGTAAAATGGAAATTGAAAAATAACAGTATTGTATTCCCAAAATTTTCTGGGAAAATGGAGTGAGCCATTCCTGATTTAATCAATAAAATAAATTGACTGATTTGTTAATTTTTTGGAGCCACTTATTTAAGCAAATCTAAAAAATATGAACACAATGATTATAAATAAAAACTCATTACAGTTTGGGTAGAATTTATTTTCAGATGACGTCATCAATTTTTTGGAGTGGATAAACAGATACATTTTGATTAAAAAGTTACCATGCTTACAATAACCTCAAAGATCTGCAAGATTTCAACGTAGTCAGTTTTGCAATGCTTGCTTTACTCAATAAAAGAAATTGATTCAGTCATTCATTTTTTTGAGACACCCTGTATAAACAAATCTAAAAAATATCAATGCAGCGATAAATCACACTCATCATATTTTGCACATTTAAGACGTCATACATTTCTTTAGGGGATGAGCAAATACATTTTGACCAAAAATTTACCATGCTTATGATAACTTTAAAACATCTCCAAGATTTCAAAGCATTCGGTTTTGTAGTTCCTGATTAAATTAATACAATAAATTTAGGCATTCATTAAATTTTTTGAGTCACCCTGTACATGCAAATCCAGAAAATATGAATGGAATGATAAATTATACAGACTCATCATATTTTGTACAATTTAATTTTAAGCTGACGTCATCAATTTTTAGAGGGTATAAGTAAATATATTTTGATTAAAAATTTATCATGCTTATAATAACTTTAAAACATTGTCAAAATTTCAAAGCATTCGGTTTAGCAGATTCAAAATTAAATTGCAAAATGTTGTTTTATAATTTTTTTTTTTTTCAAAAATCTGGACGTTACGGGTAAAAACTCAATACGGAGTCATAAACTATATATGTGTAGGACTATGTTATTTTATACAATTTAAAACCCATTTACTATGTACAATTTTGAAGTGACGTCATCGCATTAGTGGTGGGGATGCTTAGACAAATTTTGGTTAGCGTTTTGCCGTCTATGTATATGATATTCCTAATATAAATACAAAATTTGACAACAATCGGCCCAGTACTTTCGGAGATTATCTGTCTAATAAAAATCCAGGACGGCAGACAGGCAGACAGGCAGACAGACAGACAGACAGACAAAAAGACGGACAGACAGACTGAAACGGGAGACTTATTTCTTCGTACCCTAGGGGTCATGACAGGTCGAGAAAACGTAAATGTACGTAAACGTAAACAGAGCGTGTTCTATTTGAAAACACTGAAACATCGATATTTGAAAATTGTAATGCTTTAGATTTTTTTTTGTAATCTTTGTTAAAATTTCACTTAATTGATACCATAACAAACCGCGTACCTTTAAAAATAACCGTATTGCAATTATTTTGTGAACCCCTCCATTGCAAAAAAAAAAGAAAATTGGTTTAATGTGGCAACGTCGCAACAGAATGTCAAAAATAAATTGTCGTTATAAACCATGGAAGCTGTTTTATACGAAAATCACTCCCATAATTTGTCAAAAATTTTGCAAAAACATATTCCACACTTTGGCGGTAAAGTAGAACATTTTTCTTGTACAATTTCTGAATATAAATTTTCTAGTAATTGTCCTTGTAATTATGTGACGTGTAAAACAGCTCCAGGAAAAGGCTAATGAGAATAGGTAAAAATATACAGTAATGATCACTTATAGCGAACCCGGTTAAAGCGAACTTCCTGATATAACGAACCAACTTGCAAAGTACGAACTGAAGTACCATAAGATACGTGTTATTTTTTTCCGATTATAACGAACCCGCTTATAGCGAACTTTCGGATAAAACGAACCAAATTTTTAATATTTAAGAAAAAAAAAATCGTTTATAACGAACTTTTTCACCAGTCAGCTTTATCTCGACAATGGTCAGGAACACTTTTGTGTGAATCTATTAGATCCCGTCAATTTTATCAGTATGGGATGGCAAAAAGTATCAGAACAAACAATTGCTAATTGTTTTCGACATGCTGGGTTTCTCTGGTGTGAAGAAAAATTTGAACCAGGGGTGGGATTTTGTTTCTACCGATACGATACGTTACGAAGCGATAAATGACAAGGACTAAAGTATAAATTTCAGATGCGAAAG